CCCCAAAACCCCAAAACCCCAAAACCCCATGATCTTAAATAGCAAGAATATTTGAAATCAAAATTTAATAAAGCAAATAAAAATAATCCAAAAGCTAACCATATTCTAACTCTACAATCATACCTTTCTGTCAATACATATCTGTGTGATGATACTTAGGATTCAACATCTGATCTTCACACTCTTCATCTAATCCCTATTCCTCCTCATCATCTAATTAAGCATAGTGCTATCTCTCTGGGTATGGTCTGTTTTAAAATTGCTATTGCACTTCAAATATATTCTAATTTGACATACCCTAGCCATTAAGTTTCTCAGTTTGGAATAACTGCTGCTATTGCTGCTGCATCATGTAATTACCTTGCATTTCATTAATCATGCCCTCATCATATTCACCTTCTCCGTACATTTAAATGTTGCCGTCTTCGTCTATCATCTAGCCAGAAGGGATGAGCTAACCATTGCTGTCTCTCATTGAGTGAGTTCTCTCATGAGCTGTCAAGTTTGATGACTATGTGAACCTTTTGTTACAGCCAGGGAAGGAACATACATAAGGTTTCTCACCAGTATGAGTTCTCAAGTGAGTTCTTAAGTTAAAGTCTAAAGAGAATTTTTTGTTGCAAATGTCGCACTTGTAAGGTTTCTCCCCCTATAATAAGTTGTAATGATTAATTGAGTACTGTGTGAACAAGTTGATGTCTTTTCAGTTTAGAATTGTCCAAAAATTTTTTGCCGCAAGTTGGAACTTTGCATATATACATCCTTTCTCCGTGAGTCATTTGGTGCTTACGATAAGATCCTAGCATATTAATCGAAGGCCAAATAAAACTTACCTTAATCAAAGAATACCTTGCCACAGTCCTCTTCTTAGCAAACGTACTTCTTTGAAAGAGACTCTAGATCTAACTCAGCATTTTAAAGAGGTGTAAAATAGTCCAATGTTTGCTGAGCTGCTTTCTCATATTGAATATGCTCTTGCAAAGTCATTTCATCCTGTTAGTGTTAGTTGATAAGTGTCTTATTTGCTTGTTCCTGTCCTTCTTTGACTATGGTTTCATTGATAGGGAATGAACTTAGTCCATTCACTTTTTCGTAGTATTGAACTCCAACCTTTGCTTGCTCGCCAATATTGACAGTATTGAGACTGTCAACGCAAACCCATTTGCAAATCCAAATATCATTTCCATACTCTATCACGTTTGGCTGTAAAACCCATCTCTTCTCCCACTTTTTAACTGGCTTTTTAGAGAAATTATCTTTCCTCTCTTGAATTTCTTATTTTTACTGCTAAGAATCCTTGACTTGCTTAGTCTCCTCAAACTAACTAGTCAAGTTATTGCTAGACACTCCCTTTGACTCTTCTAAATTATCTCTATCACCAGAATCACTGATGTTATCTCCTGACTAGGTCTTCATTCTCTTTTGAGGCTTTTCTCCAGAAAGAGCTGATAATCCAGAGATCTGAGTCTTAAAGCTCTTATTTTCTCCACCTGCAGATTCTCCTTTGCCCTTTTGATATCTTTTCTTTGACTTCTTTGTTTAATCATCTGGACTTTCCTCCAATGTACTTGTTCCTTCAGGTCTTTGCTTTTCATCGCTCATCATTTTCTTTTTAGATTGCATTTTGCTTTTACCTATCGGATGCGGTTTTTAAAATTCTTCACCGTCATCAGCCCCTCCTGCTATAAATCTTTAATAATCGTAAAATTACCTCCGCTAGTGGTAACTTATTTTGTAGGCTATTTCTTCTTGGAAGACTAAGAGCCATCACCTTTTGAAATCTTCCTTTTTGGCATTCCAAATTCATCCATTTCATCTTCTACTTTTTGATTGAAACTCAAAGATATCTTTGTAGCTGGCCCTTCATTACCAACTCCAGATAACTTGATCTTGTTAGTATTGCTTTTACCCTCCATAATTCTAATTAATATTTATATATGCTTGAGAATTTATCTCATTGAATCAAGATTAATTGATGGGGTTTTGGGGTTTTGGGGTTTTGGGGTTTTGGGG